CCTCGTAACTTCGAAACGGTGTCTCACCCACCTTGATTCGATATTCCTAATCTAACTTTTGATCAAAACGGTTTGAGATGGCAGATTTGGCCATTTCCGTTTGTCGTTCCACGCGCGCGCGTGTGTCCATTTTGCCGTTTCCGCACTTGCATGTGCCGATTTTGCCGTTTTGCTTGTTTTAGGTCTATTAGTAGCCGTTTATGATATAATGTGATGCAATCTTCTATTTCAAACAGTGGTGAGCTAGGCGGAGCCGGTGGAGCCTACTACTAGTTAGCACGCACGAAGTGATTTTTGCTCTTGTGCTACTTTGAGTAAGTATTCGGGCCGTGTTGCATATAACTTGCTTATGTGTTTAAAATGAATGAAAGGGTACCTAGGCGAGGGTGTATTTCATCGAACTCGACCTAAACTCCAATTTACATGCATATTTGTATATGACATGTCTACATGAATTATTTTGGGTTTGAGTCCCTTGAACCTGTAGCTCGGGGTGACGTTTGTGAGTTTGAGGTCGATCTCAAGACCTAGATGGACTATTCGAGCCGGTCAGGGCTTAGTCGAAGTCAGTCCAACCTAGTCTGATGTCACCAAGTTCGTAAATCCGGTTCACCGAGAATGTGAACCAAGTTTGTAGGTTCAAGTGTGAACCACGTTTGTGAACCGAGCTTGTGAACCAAGCTCAATTTCGTTCGCTCGAGCAAGTTTGTGAGGTGACTGGCCAGTGAGGGTGATAAGGTGTTAGGTGGGAGTACAAGTGGAGTTCTACGGACCTTGTTTATGGTCGACGGAGTGTCGGCAGGAGGTCACGCATGGCAAACGGCTTGGCTTTGGAGCCAACCTGTATCCTTCCTTTGTATTGTTACTTTTGCACTTGACTTGACACTTTTGTGAAATAGTTGTTTATCTAAATGTGAAATTTATAATTTTACCCCTGTTTATTTACTAAGTATATAACTTACCCGTTTCCTTTGTTTTCCTTAGCAGGGGACGACGCAGGGAACTCCTTGGCACATTCACTAGTATAGTTAGGTTTGCTTGTAATAGTTGGACAGTTAAGATGTTTGTTTTTGTTTTAGTGGTTTGTATAAGAACCCTCCTTAGGGTCTACCTTCTGCTGGTGGTTATCATAGTGTATTAAAGTGGTTTTGACTAGATACTTTTGAAAATGTAAATAGAACTTTTGGCGGTTGTATATATTATAAATAGTACTCTTTTGGTTTAATATAGTTTGATTAACTTTGTATTTTGAGTCTTGGCACAAGTTAGGCAGGCGTCCCGGCAATACCCTAGGGTTCGCCTTTGGGAGAAGCGGGGGCATTTGTGACGCCCCGAAAGAATGAGTGTGAGAACCCGAAAATTTTTATATATTTTCTAGACATTATTTTGTTTCCTTGTCTATAATTTTATACCTTTCTTCAAATACATTTTTATAAGGGAATATAGTTTTCAAATCATCTCCTTGATACAATTTAGTCCACGTTAAGTTTGAAGTGTATTATCAACGTGGGACCCGCTAGTGCGGTAAATGCGATATATTTTTGACAACTTGTTGGAGTTTTATATTAAGTGTTATTATTTTATAAGGTGCTAAGAGATAATTAGAAGTTACCTATATGGATTAGTATTAGAGAGACAAAGAGATAAGTTTTAAGCAAAATGTGACAAGTGTCACCATCCAATTCACCTTTGGACTTTTGACCAATATATTTTTACCTTCTTAAAGCTAATTTTGAGCAAAATATTTCTTCATTTTAAGCTTCCTTGGCCGGCCACCTTGAGGGAAAGAAACCAAGAGAGAAACTTCATTTGTTCTTCAATTTCTTGCCCAATCTTGAATTCTAACCAGAATTTTTGCAAAACTCTGCATCAAAGTTGTTTACTAAGGTGGATTAAAGGATCGAGTGGAGTGATTTTGAAGGGACAAGCTCCAAGCTACTACCTTTCTTGTGATTTTAAGGTATTTTGTCTAGAATATCCTCTTTACTTCAATTAATTGCTTGTTAGTGGTTTTTAGTTGTTTTAGATGTTGTTTTGTGGAAGATTAGCACTTGAATGCATGAATTCCAGGTTTAGGGTTTCAATTTTTCCCTATTCTACCCGGTATTATTTCCCCTAGTTAGAGACTGAATTAGTCTTGGGTCAAAACATGAAAGTTGTAGAGGCTGATGTTTTATAGTTGCTTACAAAATTTCAGCCCAATCGGAGCAACGTAGCCTATGAAAAGACTGAAATATCCCTGCCACCCTGTTTCTATCCGAGAATGATAATCAGCTTTGGTAATTGGTTAGTTTGACTGGAAATACTACTGATTTGGTTGTTGATGTCTTCTTCAGAAATATAGCCTGGTATCTTAGCTTTCGGATGGCTTTGGAATCACTTGAATTGGACTTTGGTAGCCTGAATTATGGTTGTTTAACCAGAATGCGGTTCGCTAACCTATTTATGCGGTTCGGGTGTGATACATTGAAAATTTTGACATAGTTAGGGTGAGAATTGGACTAAATGGTCTTCATGAAAGTTGTAGGTCTTTGTCTTAGTTTCGAAACGGTACAAAGTACACCTCAATCCGATAATGGTAGCTTTAGTTATGGATATTGTGCCGAAAAGTGTAGTTGATAGTTTATGATGTGTATGTGGTTAATTTGAGATGAATTGGTGTTGCTTGTAGGATGGAAAAGTAAGGAAATTAAGGGGATATGCTGTCCGATCTTTGAACGCATTTGATTGCTTTGAGTTTGAGTTGAAGGGTTTGGATTTGGGTAAGGCAATGATAAATGATGGATGGTTCCTGAGCCGTGAAGGTGAGTGACCCTAAACTGTTTCCAAAGTTACTTATGAACCGTTTCTTGCATTATTTACTCGATTGCATATCATGCGTGCTTGCATGTGAGTTCATGACATGATTTGGCTTCAATGAGTTCTTGGAGAGTCTTGTGCTGAACACCAACGTCTCCACCACATGTTTATGTTCATGTTCATTTGGAGCTCAAAAAAGGGCTCCCTCTCCCTGTTTACTGTTAAACGTTAAATGATCTATTTGAGCGTTGGGTGTTTAAGTGCAAGGATTTCACTGGCTCACTAGAGCAAAAATACGTACATTTGATCTCTGACTCATGACATCATTGAAATGCTTTATTTTGAAATATATTTGAGTACTGATTTTTGCTGGTTACTCACTGAGCTTTTAACTCACCCCAAAACTATTTTATTCCCCTCCACAGGGCTCGAAGCGAAGAAAGTGCTTGTAGTACTTATTCACGTGACTGGATGGCATATATCTTGTACAGTTTAGATTTGGATTTATTTTATGTACGAGTTGGGCTTGTATAAATATTTGGAATTGAAATGGATGTAAGTATATATCCCACGATTGGAATTAGTTTCCTCTTCGTTTTTTATATGTAATTCTTGGAGAATCGATGTATATTGGAGATTTATATTGTAATTTATTTGAGAATTGTAGTGAACGACTGAGTCCCGGCGAGAGTTGGGCAGGCGGTCCGCTGAACCCTTTGGTTCGCTTTAGGGGGAGGTGGGGTGACATTTAGATAGTCGAAAAAAAGATTGAAGTGCTTGAGAGAAGTCAAGTTCCAAGGACCTCTAGGCAATTGGCCTTCAAATGAGGTCACACTTAAATCAAGAGAAGCAAGGGCAGTAAGCCTAAAAATCCATCTAGGGATGAGGTGCCTAAGAAAATTTCCAGAGAGATCTAGAATAGTAAGAGAAGAAAAATTGGTGTAAACAAGTTGAGAAATATGAAGGGATCATGTTAAAGAAGGGATCATATTAAGTTTTGATACTTTGCCATCAAGTTGTGGATTCTACTTTTTGCAAGACTCTTTGCAGCACCGGATTTGCCTTTTTAATGAAAGGATTGGAGTTGCAGTTTTTTACTCTTTTGGCCCCTTTCATATGAAAGTAGAACTTGTAATCGAGAATAGGGGCAAGCAAAAAGACTAATGAGAAATGAAAAGCCAAAGACTTAGATTTTGTTTAATAACCAAATTCAGTACTTAAACTTAAGCATTTATATATTAACATATTCAGACTGTTTGATAACTAAAAATTGAACATCTGAATTAATTAAATGGTACTGAATTTTCTAGACAAAACTTGCTTCCAAAATTAAGTGATAAGTTATTCACTTATCACTGAATGTGATATGTACTCAAATGCATTAGATTTAATATTTAATAATTCCATAACTTGATAGATTCATATTTCAGATTTCAAATTTTAAACTTTAGTTTTATCAAATGCACTCTTAGTATGAAATTAGACAGAAAATCTTGACAGCGAAATTTGATTATGTTAGGATCCAGATGTGGAATAAACAACCATTGAGATATCAAGTGTACAACAATTTAATGAGGAACAAGTTACAAACATGAAAGATAGACGACACATAATATTTAACGTGGTTCGATTCCACCATTGAGCCTACGTCCACGGAGAGAAATCCGCTCTTTATTATGAGAGAAAAACCTTATACAAGAATACAATTTGAACCCAAAACCAACCCTTGTATACCATCTCTCATCTCCCAAGAACCCTCTCTCACCCCATGTATAAGGCTACATGTCGCATCTTGTGTGTCCTTATGTGTCTCTTGTATAGTATGCCAACCCACCTATTTATAGATAACATTATTTGGCTAAATCCAAAAAACACTAGGAAACCAATTCTAATTTCTAAACTTATATAAAATAGGAAATAACTTCTAATGCTAAATTAAATAGAATATTTCTTGGCTACTACTTTAAGTAATTAAAACCAATTAGGAAACTAGTTACTTCTACACAAAACAAGAATTCTAGTTAAAAGAAATTAAGTCAATTTCCTAACAAATCTCCACCTTGGCGAAAATTTCTTTTAGCAACCATTTACCTTCAACTACCAAATAATATGGTACCAAACAACACATCAGAATCAATACAGTTCTGATACCAAATTGATTGAATCGACAAATGAACATGTGTAGTTGCCCCGAGTCTAACCTCCTGTTGACTCATGAGAAAGTGTCTCAATTCACCATCTCTCTTTGCAAGATTTCTTCTCACCACCACTTGCAATCCAGGATCCCCTTCTGTGAGCTCTAAGCCTAACCATTGAGGCAACCAAGTGGTAAAATCACCATACTTCTTCCCATCCTCAGGAATGTGTTGCCATGTGTGATTTTCAAGACTCTACTTAAAACGAAAAACTTGTAACTGTCAAAGTCTTCTGGCACATGGAAATTAGACTTTTTGTTTCTTTAGGACCCGTGCCACATCACCTAAAAAATATAACCGAAATCTAAAATCCACCGGAATGAAGTATCAACCGGAGGTGTGAGAATGTCACCAAGGATTCAGGTCCAAAATTAACATTGGATTCCATCTTTTTCTTGACCCTTGAATCACCTGTCTAGATTCACCGTCAAGTATCTGCATGCTTTTCGGCTTCCCATCCTTCACCATCAATACTTTTTGTCAAACCAGTGAAACAAGGATACTACCCATTATATTGTTCAATTGATAACAACCATCAATCCATTTGATCTCAATAGTTAACCAAGATTTAACTTTGAACAACCGAGCTCTAAATCCAACCATTCAATTTGTTGGGATCCAAGTGCTCGTGAGTAACCCAGTTTCGCAACCAAACTCTGATACCACTTGTTAGGATCCAAATACGAAACAAATAACTATTGAGATATCAAATATACAACAATTTAATGAGGAACAAGTTACAAGCATGAAAGATAGATGACACACAATATTTAACGTGGTTCGACTCCACCATTGAGCCTACGTACACAGAGAGAAACCCGTTCTTTATTATAAGAGAAAAACCCTATACAAGAATACAACTTGAACCCAAACCCAACCCCTGTATACCATCTCTCATCTTTTAAGAACCCTCTCTCACCCCATGTACAAGGTTACATGTCGCCTCTTGTGTGCCCTTATGTGTCTTTTATGTAGTATGTCAACCCACCTATTTATAAATAACATTATTTGGCCAAATCCAAATAACAATAGGAAATCAATTCTAATTTCTAAACTTATATAGAATAGGAAATAACTTCTAATTCTAAACTAAATAGAATATTCCTTGCCTACCACTTTAAGTAACTAAAATCAATTAGGAAACTAGTTACTTCTACACAAAATAAGAATTCTACCTAAAAGAAATTAAATCAATTTCCTAACAGATTAAAAAATCCCAATTAAGCACCTTACTATTATTGCCTATAGGAAAGAAAAACGAATTAAGAATATATTAAGGAAAATAAGCTTTTGGAAGCATGAAACAAGCAATGAAGGTAGAAAAGGGGGAAAAAACCAATACTAGATTTTTTAAAGCAAAAGGAAAAAGTAGGGAGTGCCAAAAGGAAAATTTAATGGAGAAAGAGAAGGAAAAGCATTCTTTATTACCTGAAAATCAACATTATCAACAAAGAGACCAAACAAGCAGAACTGTAGAAGCGGGAAAAAAAAAAAAACCTTCAATACTTCTTGTATCATCCAAGGATTGTATCCTTAACATGAAATCTTTGTTATACAACACAGAAAACCAGAAGAAAAGTACGAGCAACAAATGGCATCAAATCAAGGTCAATAATGCAAAACGAGGACGTGGAAGTCGATAATTTCATTCTGGGTGGTATCATTGTAAGTATGGATTATTGCTGTAACTATTCCACGAGCCAATCGAAAAGCCCCAGAACCGCCTACTATTGGCATCTCCTTGTACTTCTGGAAGAAGGGATAATCACCTAGAACGCTAAGGGTGCTACCATTGAACTTGCCATCGTTGAATGCCAAGTTCATGGTGCCAATTCGTGAAGCATCTTTCTCTTTCAAAGCCGAACTGGTTATGCCATGGGCGTGACCGATGATCTTGGAACTGGGCTGAGGGCTCAGGTCCCAGTGTCATCGGGTCATCAAAGACGTAGGTTGCCCCGAACATCGTGGGTGATTTGCTAGTAGTGTTGGCTTGAGCAACTAGTACAGATTTGGGGCTCTCTGCAGTTACCCTGACATGAACATAGAAGTGAAGCTCTGTCAACTTCTCCTTTGCATGTCGAAGCTCTTTGAACCATTTTTTAATTGCTTCAGGACTTTGATCAATGCTGCCATGAGCCAATATTGGTAGGACTTTGATCAATGCTGCCATGATCTCTGCAGTTATCACATTTAACAATAGTGTGACTTGTTTGTTACACGGTCAACGTTTGTATTATTTTTGCAGGGACTTATTTTATAAGATGATGAAGACTTTATTAGAGAACAGAGGTTGATATGATTCATGACTAATGTGATTAACATGGTAAACTATTTTAGTTTAACATTTTATAAACTACTAATAGGTTTGAATGCATGTCACATGTATAAAATTTAAAATGAAATTAATTTTCATGCATCCGGATCCATTAATGTATAGTTAGTGTTAAGAAATATAAATTTAATTCTTTTTCACTTAATTATCTGCTAATTATGCTTCTTATGATGCCATTAAATTGGAAAATAAAAATAAAAAAATTATACATAGTGCAATTTCTTTTAGTTTAGGACAAAAAGAAATAAAAAAAAAGACCTTGTGCTAGTTAAGTCCTTATTCCCCTAGGATGTAGATCCACTGCCACTTTGTTACTGCTATCAATGCCTCGACTGTTTTACCATATTTTTGGTGAATTTCTTGTCCCGGAATTCATGTTCAACAGATTCGGAAGATGAATTACCGGTTTAGCAGAGCACTCTAGAACCGGCCACCATTACTGTAGCTGAACCTTGATGTTTTAACAACTGATTTATCTAATGCTAGTCCCTCAACTGCAACTTTCTTGAAATACAAGTTGAAGCAAATGTAGTATAACTTACATGATTAAACAAGCAGCTATTCTCCTACTCATAGGCATGCATGCTTCACTGGCCTCTGATCGCAACTTCTTTGCCGCATCATTGCAGCAAAGAGATGGGATCAGAACAAACTGAAGCTGTTTTCATGTATGTGATTCAGGGGGTTGCTTTACGCCCCTTTTCTAACTGATAGCAGCCAATCACCCTATGTAAACCCCTAGCTGTGGCATCTTGAAAACACAATCGCTACTAGTTCACTTGGAAAGTTTGAAACACCATGAAGTTCAACTACACCTTGTCCCTTTTGGTTTCGTGTTTCATTTTATACTTAACCTTCACCAATGCTGCAAATTTCAACATTATAAACCAATGTACCTACACAGTTTGGGCAGCTGCTTCCCCAGGCGGTGGCAGGCGACTTGACCAAGGTCAAACATGGTCCCTAGATGTGGCTCCTGGCCCCACCAACGCTCGCATTTGGGGCCGAACCAATTGCAACTTTGATGCCAATGGCCAAGGCCAGTGTCAGACAGGTGATTGCAACGGGCGCCTCGAATGCCAAGGCTATGGAAAGCCTCCGAATACACTAGCTGAATTCGCCCTAAACCAGCCTAACAACTTAGATTACTTCGACATTTCCCTGCTTTATGGATTCAACATCCCATTGGAGTTCAGCTCCGTTACTCCTTGCTATGATATCAGATGTTCAGCACCTATTGTTGATCAATGTCCAACTCAGCTAAGAACTCCAGGTGGGTGCAACAATCCTTGCACTGTTTTCAACACAACTGAGTACTGTTGCACCAGTGGCACTAGCTGTGGCCCGACCTTCTTCTCCACGTTCTGCAAGGGCAGGTGCCCTGATGCTTATTGCGATCATCGAGATGATCCTACAAGCTTTTTTACTTGCCCAAGTGGTACAAATTATAGGGTTGTTTTCTGCCCTTAAAGAAATCCAGATATTTTAAGGTTCTTGGGACAGCTTATATGCTCCAAGAACTTCACTAGAAAAGTAGATTTTGAAGAAATAAGCGCATATGTGATCCTTCTTGTGATGATCCACAGTAATTGCAACAAATTTGAGCACCTATAGCTTTGTGCGATTGAGAAATCAAAGCCAGAACTTGGGGGCTTTCCAAGCTTATGTGATGTCCTTCTAATTCATTCTTTTCCATTCAATCGGTACTAGCTTAATTATCTTTATTAAGTCTGCCGAAAAGGATTGAACCAACAAATTTGAAAAAAAAAATTTCAGATTACAAAATATTTAAAATTCAAGATATGGCTTTGGTTATCAGCCCATCACGGCCCAATTAAGGGTCCACCTAAAAACACTTGAAACTTGAGGACAAACAGAGGACTTGATGGAGTTTGGTGGTTTCTAGTTGGGCTCCCAGTGCTTTTTTTGTCTACAGTTCTCTTTCAGATTTTTGGTCGTATTTCCACCGCCCCATGGAATTTAATTTACAAAAATGTATTTAAATATATCTAGAAATTAAAGATTTAGAATTCAAATTCCCTGTCCCCTCCCAATTTCATAAGCCCCCTCCTTCCCCTACTAGAATATATATATATATATATATATATATATATCATTCTACTGAGAAAACGATTTCAGAAAATTACTACAAACAATATATTGCAAGTTTTCTCAATTGCATACCAATTGTGCTAGCTTATGGAAGTGATAAATAAATCATTTTTGTTCAGCTTTTCCTTTTGGCTGATTCTCCCATTGACAATCATCTTTGTTCTCTCAAAAAAAAACGAAGAAAGAAAGAAATGAACTTCACCCTTTCAAATAGTGAATAAATTGAATATAAATAAAACGATAAATAAATATCTTAACACTCAAACATAATGCTAGTTAAGTCCTTATTCCCCTCAGGGGTAAAAAAAAAAGACATCAATGTACGGATAGGAAAATTATTAAACCAACTCGAAATTAAAGCATGCCCTCGCTATTATCCACCAGGTGACAAATGGCAGGACTGTAATTATTTGGAGAGCAAATTTATTTTGATCAAAATATTTATGACCACTTTGGCACATGGGCCCAATACTGGATCAAAAAACTGAACTGGATCAAAGCATCTCCCTGCCTTTTCTCCAACCCTTTCCTCTTGCAGCCAACTTTCTTCCTCCCACAGGGGAGGAGGGCCATCCCTCTAATTTCTTTCTTCTTTTCTTATTTTGTTTAAATAGCAGCTTTTCTTAAGTTTTGTTTAATAGAACTGTTCTCTCTCTCCTAAATTTTTTATCTCTCTTAAATTCTTTTAATAGGAGTTTTGTTCTCTCCTTAGATTTCTTTTTTGAAAGTTTTGAATTTTTTTTGATACTTTTCTTATTAGATCTGAAATTTCTAAAATTTGTTTTGTCAGATCTAAAATTCTCAAATTTGTTATGTCAAATCTAACTTTCTCTATGGGCCAAGTTTGTTTAACATCAAATCTGACAGTTCAAGACAGGCGCAGAATACTGCCATGCATAGAATGGAGCTGCAGTAGTGATTCATCTGATATAAAAACATTTTGGGTTATTTCATGGTGGTATCTTTTAATTTTAGGATTCTAGCACGTTAAGTCTTGCCTTATAAAATTAGGATTTGTTTTTGAGTTTTGAAATTTAAATTTCTTCAGCCATTTTAGGCATATTAAATATTGTGGTCATTGGTATTTGAGTGGTGACTTGATTTTTCCTAGAAATCTTTGGTGCATTTTTGTAGAGACATTATTATATTCATTATTTTCTTGACAGGTTTTAAAAACCTTTTTAAGTTTTTTGAGTGATTTATTAATCGAAGAATCTTTTATCCATCCGTGGTTATTGTTAACCTCAAAATATTCCTCCAAGCATTACAAATATATTAGAAATTGGCTTTAAGTCATAGCTTCAAAACACTGGAGAATCCATTAAAGACTGTTAAAAATTACGACATTTTCTATATATGAAAGATCTGGGATTGCAGCATGACCTGCAATTACATCACCACAACTCTGCTGGAGGGTTCCGAATTCCAAACTTATTTATTCAAAGTCAAAGGTTATCGGCCAAGTGAGGCTGTTATTACCCAAGCCTAAATACTCCAGATCTTTCAAATGAAACAATGATCTTGGAATGCTTCCAGTGAAGTTATTGCTGTTAAGGTTGATGTGAGTCAAGTGTGGGTAATTCATCCAACAGTCAGGAATTTCTCCTGATAGAGAATTCTCTCGAAGATCCAGATACCAAAGATATTGTGTTTCATTCTTCACTTCACACAAAATGTGAGAGATGCCTCCTGAAAACAAATAGTTAGAAATTAAGTTCTAAATATGTCAATCAATGATAAATTAATTGGGTGTGTAGGCAATTGAATATGTTTGATTGTTGTGTGCATATAAATCTTTTAACAGTTTTAGAGATATATTTGAACTTTTATAATAAAATTAATTGTGAGAAAGTTCCACATGGACCAATGATGGGTTGAATAACCAAGAGGGAATAGCCATTGAATATGTTTGACTATAATGCATATATAAACCTCTAACAGTTTCAGAGATATTTGAACCCTTACCATCGAGCTGATTGTGAGAAAGGTCTACATATTCCAATGATTGGTTGAATAACCAAGGTGGAATGGTATCTGAAATTTCCGTGAAGGACAAGTCCAAATCCCGAAGGATTTTTTGTGATCGAATCCATGTAGGAAATTGGATCCCCAGCTTCCACGAGCCCAATCTAAGTACTTCAAATTGGACACGAGGAGTCCAACTTGCACTTGCTCTTAAGGTTAAGGAGTTTCCAGATGCATCAAAATACGTTAAAACTGTCAGATTGTCTAGGTGACTCCCACTCACAATGCCTTCCATTGAATTGTCGTTAATACAAAGATCTTCAAGTTTGTAAAGCTGCCAAAGACTTTCAGGAAGAGTTCCGGTGAGTTTGTTGTGAGATACATCCAAGTGCTCCAAGGATGACAGTTTTCCTAATTTTGATGGAATTGAACCAGATAGAGCATTTTCATACAGCGAAAGTTCTTTGAGCTGGGTACATCTTCCTAAATTTGATGGAATTGAGCCAGATAGAGAATTATTATTTAGCAAAAGGTATTTTAGCTTGGTACAGTTGCCAACAGTGCTTGGAATTGGACCATTCAAGTGATTACTACTCGCATCAAGTGTAATCAAGTCCTACGACGTGAATACTTCACTTGGTAAAGAGGAGCTAAGGTTGTTATTAGATAGGTCAAGATATTGAAGGTTGGAAATGTTGGCAATAGATCTTGGGATAGAACCTCGAAAGTGATTGCCGTGAAGATCAAGTGAAATTAGGGCAGTTAAAGTGGATAATTGGCTTGGGAGGAAGGTAGCGAAGTTATTCTCTGACAGATCCAAAGATGTAAGGGAGCTCCAATTCCAAATTCCTTCCAAGAAGCCGTCGAAATCATTCTCCCTAAGGTTGAGAGAAATGAGATTGTTAAGATGAACAAGCTCGTTTGGTAGCGAACCATTCAGATAGTTCAAAGAAAGATCCAAGTGTTGGAGGGAAGTCAAGTTCCAAGAACCTCTGGGCAATGGGCCTTCAAACAAGTTCCCACTTAAATCAAGGGAAGCAAGGGCAGTAAGACCGAATATCCATCTAGGTACGACGGGTCCAAGAAAATTTCCAGAAAGATCTAGGACAGTAAGAGAAGAAAAGTTGGCATGGAAGACAAATGTATCTCTGCCAATATGATGAGAAATTAAATCAAGTTGACAAGATGACAGATGTATCTCTACCAAAGAAGGGATCGTGTTAATCAACTCTAGCCAATTAGACGCTAGACGAAGGTTCACGCCACTCATATCTAGGTGCTCCAGATTAAAGAGACCAGCCAACCATTGCCAGTTGTCAGCTCGGAGGGTAGGAGGCTGCCAGACTTCTCGGCGAACACTTAAAGTGCGTAAACTTGACAGGTTTCCAAGCTGATAGGGAACCATTCCTTGAAATCCAGCTCCAGATAAATTCAGGTACCTTAGACTTCTGAGAGACCCAATAAAACTGGGAATTGGAATTCCACTGAAATTATTTAGACTTAGATCAAGGTAATGCAAGTGAGTCAAATTTTGTAACGAATGACTGATTTTACCGCTTAATGGTGATTTAGGATCAGCCAACACCTCATCACCAACGACATCAATTTCACGAGCAGGACTCTGAAGGTGAAGTTGAATCACGCGGCCACTTCGGTTGCTACAAACAACTCCGTCCCATTTGCAGCAATCAACGTCGTGAATCCAAGACGAGAGTCTGCCATAGGGATCTTTCAAGTCTTTCTTGAAGTCCATAAGAGCTTGTTTCTCACTTGCATAGCAAGTTGCATTTAAAGTTTTGCTGGAAGAACAGAGAAAAATTATTGCGACGAGTAAGAAAACAGAGAAATGGGTTGATCCACCGATGGTCATGTGAAATGTCGGAAGAAATACATTGCATTCGGCTATGTTGCAGATAGATATAAAGAGAAATATGAAAAATATGGAAGTCCCTAAAATACCCCTTCTGGGTTGCTAGATTGAGAAGCGGATGGAAATTATGCGGTGGCGCCGCCGCTAAGCTCCTTGATTGAAACGAAATATAAGTTTAGAGATTAAATTGATTATAAATAATGTATAGAGACTAAATTGACAAAAAAAAATTTAGGGACTAAATTGGCGATTTTTCCAATAATTTATCAGAGACAGACATAGGGTGGACAGGCAAGGGCAGCCGCCTTCCAAAAGTTTTAAAAATTTTAAAATTCTCCCTATAATTTTAGTTGTCAACTAAAATTTTATTATGTTATCCCCCTAAACAAAATTATTTTTTTCTTTACTTTGTTTAATTTCTTTTGATAAAGTGTCATATATCAAACTAACAATTAGTTTCCTTATAAAAGTATGCCATTCATGTCTACATTACTATACTATTATTTTTTAATAACAATTATAAAAAATATAAAATTTTATTTTCTTCGAGTTTCTTATAACAAACCAACTCTTAGTTTCTTTGATAACTATAATTTTACAATAGAAACTAAGGTAATACTGTATATGTTACATAGGAAATCAAAGACAAAGAAAACAAAAAATATATATATATTCTAGCTATCGTACAAATTAAAGAAGTTTCAACTACGATTTTGAATGCCTTGCACCGACAGTAAATAGAATGGCATAGAGCCCAATTTTCACATTTTTCTTTATACATTGTTTTTTTAAAAAAAATTTCTTGCTTCTAATTATAATTTATTGTGCTTTCATTTTGCTTTTAATATGCCTTATTTGCTATAATATCATTGATGATTCGTTCCCACTAAACTTTTGAATTCGTCACTGATGTTGACGCATATTTTCAAGGGTAAATACATCAACACAACCTACATAAAAGACGATTAAACATAATAAACTTAATAATTCTGTTGATTTAAATCTACATATAAGATTGTTATACAAGTCATTGAGCAGAGCTTACTGGAACTTTAAAGTATATATGACAGACATCAAAGGTTATGGAATATATATGCGTCATTAAAAAAAAAAAAAAGAAGACTTCAGGGAAACTCCTACATGCTAGCAAAGAAAATCGTATTAATTGTAAATTAATATGATCTGATCACATCCTAATTGGTTACTTTCTTATTTGTTGTCACTTTTTCGGATATTCAACACAATATTTGGAAATGATTAAAATGAGTGAGTAAATTAGTTTCTTTTTTTTTATATAAATATTTTTGGCTCAAGCGAAAGTTCCAAATCTTACAAGAAGGGAAGGAAAAAACAAAGGAAGATGAAAGGGGAAGAGAAAGGACTTAAGAGTCGAATCAGAAATCTAACAGACACTTGACTAACTATCCTAAAATGCGTCTTGGCGGAAGTTTTCGTTACCTTAACCGTATGTAAAGCATTGCATCCAATTTAAACATTTTTGATAGCCTTTTAAACTTCTATTCTTACTCCCATGCTGGAGGAACAAAACTAATTCTTGCCCAAACTACTTGTGCACATAATAATGTCAACATATGAGCATTGTAAGTAATTGCAAGTTCTAAGTAACAAGATTACTTTCATTTCATGACCAAAAGGAATATCATAATTTTGCTTTAGTTTTGAAAAGTTTTTTGTCAAATGAATTCAAAACCAAAAAATAAGTATTTCCAAATTGAATACCACATCAAGTGTTCTACATATTAGCTCTAATTATTATAAGATTACTCTTTGATTCTGCAAATTATCGCCTAGGGTAGAAACTAAAATTAGATTATAATCTTTGCCCATATTACATCGGGGCTTATTGCCCATAATCTTTGCTATCTTCCTCCTCTATTATCTTTGTGGTATTGTAAGTTTAACTGAAAATCTTCTTAAGAGGTTTATGAGGATTTCTGCTCCAGTCCCTCTTTGTCCCAAAAGTAGTTGCTGCAACAATTTCTCTTTAAGGGTGCAATTTTTGTCTTTTTTTTTGTGCACCCTGGGAAGCATTACTTATTTTGGACTGAGTTTTGACAACTTATCTACTTTGGTTATGATTCTTTATGGTTTAACCTTTTTTGCTCGATCTAACCAACTTAAACAGTTTTGGCACTTTTCTTTTAAGAGCATCTCCAATGGGGGTGTAATGGCTCCCCATTACACCCCTCCATGACACGGCTCCCCATTGGAGCCGTGTCATGCGGATTACACGCATCATATGTATGATGCGTGTAATCCGTTGATTTTTCTTCCCATGGATTACACGGCTCCCCATTTTGTTATTATTTGTATTTTATTTGATTTAACTTATGTAATATTATGTTATGGAGTTCAACTAATTACATTCCAAATTATTAATTAAGTATGGATTATTATGATATCTTCGCATTTGAAGTATCAAATATTTGTTTAATTTCCTACATAATTATTTTTAAAAAAATAACAATATATTATTTTTGAAACATAGAAAAAGATATATTATTCAAACTTAAAAATTAATAATATCATTTTTAGAAAATAAAAAAATTCAAAATGTACAAAATTTAACGAAAGTTAGTACTTTATTTTTTAAAAATAACAAAATTAGTTTTAAAAATTACTTTATTTATTTATAGGATATGAGTTATGCATTATTAAAATAAATATTTGATTAATTGTGGACCCATGCTATTACACCTTGTGGAGTGTAATCCATTGTGAGTGAAAGTGTAATAAAAGAGGAGAAAGTGGAATGCTGACGTGGCATGTGGATTACACTCCACAGAGTGTAATCCATTGTGGATGCTCTAAGTAATAGACCTGCAATGGAAATTCTGTTTATTTTTTTAAGGTCCAATCTGATATATGTCATGACTAGTTCATCTGTATTTCTGTGATTGTTGTGGTCTTATTATATCTCTTCTTAGATCCTATTCAACAGATTGTGGTCCCTTTACCAGGAAGTACTTATACTTTACAAAAGTGCTTCTGAAAATGTTTGGTGGCATTTTATGGGTAATGTTTGGTTTTGAGTAGTTTTGACAAATGACCTCAATCGGCACTTTAAAAATGCTGCTTTTTGGACTGGATTTCTTAGCAAGAAGTGAATAATTATATATTCAGGGTTTCTACTATGAGGAACAATAATTGTTCCATGAGGAACAATTATCTAATATATGCTATTTCAGTAGCTTCAGCTTAATTGGATGCAATGTTTGATGGTTACATTTAGTATACTCCCATTTGGCTGTCCTTAAATGATATTTACATCTAATACAGCAAGGCATGCATGACTGCAGATGCACTTCTCAACAAAATCCAATGAGAAAATAGATGTATTTAATAAATACTGTTGGGATCTTTGAGTGCTTATGCCTCTAGCCAATACTAAACAGTGGGCCTTAATTATGATTGCTGTATTTGTAAGATTTTTTGATGTTTGTTGATTTTAAGAAACCTTGATTTTTTTTACGAGTCCTTTCAGTTGTTTCACGAGGGAGGACAGGCAGAACATGGTGTTTAATACTTTTATTCTTTTGATACTTATAAATGCTACTAGAAATATATGAAAAATAAGCAGAGAACAGAATATAAGCTAAAAACATAACCTTATATACAAGCACATTTGCTTCCAGAAAAAAGAAACAGTTATGCAACTAATATCGATTATATAGGGATTACAGAAAGCTCTAGTCATGTATGAATAAAATTTAGTACATTTTCTTCTCTAAACCTTTACAAAAAGTACCTTTTGACTAATGGGCTACAGTGGGTAGGGTTAACTCTAAAAAATCTGAAAAGTTAGTAGGTTTTTTACCAACTGCTGCCTTATTTTGGAATGTAATCTTCGATACTTTGTTTGGAGGGAAGGGACAACAGACAGGAAAGAAGAGTCACCCATTGCTATAAAAAATTTCTGACATGCTATTCTCTGTAGAACTCAGAACTGCCTTAAGCATGTAACGAAAGCAGAAAATGGAATGTAATATTAACAAAAGGTGGTGAAAATTTGAGCTCAATTCTCTTTTCATCCTCTCAAATTATAAAAATATGAAAATCGTAGAATGACTTGTATTTATGATCCATTGTTCATCTATTATATGGTGGTAATAGCTTTGAATGTGTCTATGAGGTAATGGAATGCTGTATTATTTAGTATATGGTGGTAATAGCTTCAGATGTGTCTATGAGGTAATGACTGCACCCAACGTGTCAAGGGAGAGGTGAAGAGCTTCATGTGATGCCCTTTTTAAAGTTCAATCTTTTCTGGTCATTTTGATAATTTAGACTTTGTAAATTGAGCTGGAAATGTACCAATAAAATCTTTTTGCTTGTTTCCTTAAAAATTTGAAAAGAATTAGAATGGGTCAAAGAGATAGGATTCTGATTTACCTATCCTTCTTAATTAGAATTTTATTTTCATTTAATTGGTTGCTCAATTATTAATCAAACTTTTCTTTTTCTTCTGTTTTCTAAGAGGTTTGGAGTTTTTTTTTGGGGGGGGTTGTGTGCGCGGGTGGTTTGTGGGGAAGGTTTATTGGAGACTCTCTGCCTTCTTTTATGCGTTGCACCATATTTCCTGCTGTTTCCCAGTCCTGTATGCTATTAAAACATCTCAATCTTGTCTTGATATCGCTTGTCTAGTTGGGCTTAGGCATACTCATTTTCCCTTTAAATGTTTGCTATGCATGGTTTCGAGACATTCAACACAAAAATCATCTCAAACTTAATGCTTCAACTGTCTGTTCAAATGCATTTCGTGGTTAGTGCAATTTATCTTATTTTAACGTTTGAAATCTAAAATCATTGTTTGCTTTTCTATTCCTTGATCATTTTTTTGTTGAGTAAGTCTATTTTTGTTATTATTTTTCCCCATGGGATTACTTATTTATCATGTTATTCTGAGCTAATTGAATTATCATAATCATGCTTGCTGCAGTTCTTTGAAGAGTATGTGCATGGGGCAGGCTCGAATAAACAACAAGAAGCAATTCATGAATAAGAAAACTAAATTTGTATACTCTGATGGTAGTGAGGATGAAGATGGAGATCATGATGGGATTGGCAATAACATTCATAGGAGCACAGAGGAGAAAGATTTACCTACTGATAATATAACCGATGCTAATTTTGAAACTCTAGTTGATGAAAAGCTAGGGCCTCAGAACGAGGACAACTCATCTGTTCAAGAGGAAATACAAGAACATAAAGAGAATAAGGAGGAAGTGACAAAGAAGCATAAAATTCAAGAAGGTGAAGCTGGAGAGCAGCCAATTAAGAAGCAGTGTGTTGAATTAAGTTCATCAAGGTCCCCAAATTTTGCATCTTCTAAGATGGAGGAGAAATCAGTTGATAAATTGATCGAAGCTGAGCTAGCTGAGTTGGGAGACAAAAGTAAGGTAAGTAGAAATCACTTGTGAAGCTGCAAATTATGATCTTTTACTCTTTGCTTGGGAAGAATGCCTTTGTTGATGCATTCCGTTTTTTAATTGGCTTTCTTTCTTATACCAAAAGAATGATGGACATCACTTAATTCTCTACTCACCCAACTGGATTCTCGATGTCTTCATGAGCTCTTTAGATTTATCTTTCTGTAAAAGCACATGTGTCAACTGGGGGCATAATTCCATGACTTCATGCTCTGTTGTCCTGGGCCTCCTTTATTTATCTGTGGACAGTCTCAAAGAGTTCCAAACTAATTAAACATCATGAACTGACCCAAGTCATTTAGAATGTGGTAGAGTTAATACGACTTGCCCCATTTTCCTCCTTCAACCCTTAGGTCGATGTCATTTTAACCTTTGATTTTTTTGGAGACTATCTCTTAGGATAAATTTTATGTCAAACTCTACATACATCTATGAAATGTGGTTGCAGAATGTTCATAATATCCATTCTTTCTCATTATCTTCATCTCAATAAGTAGGCCTTATCTTATATGACCTGCCCTCTCCCATCACCACTCTTCCCCCTTAGCCCAGTGGTCACCTCTTCCACTGTTGTTCTCTTAAAAATCCCCTCATGCACACACAGTCACATGTATGTGTATATCTCTACTACCATATTATCAGTGGAACCAGTGGCAGTGCCCAAAGCAAAAAGGAGAAGGGCTGCATTTGGAGATGGCTGGGCTTTTTGATGGAAAGGCGGATTTTCTTCTGGGTACGACGAATTGAAAAAGAGAAAGAGAGAGAAATTAGAGTTTGATTATGACCCGTAACATGGTAAATAGTAGGTGTAAAATGACATAATCCAAGAATTGAAGGGGGTGAAGTGGTTTTAGATTTGTGTGAGGTGATTTTTATCTTCTTCTTATATGTGTTCTTTTGTTCCCTCATTCTGAGATTTTCAGAAGCTGTATGGATTCTGCTAAGAATTTTTTGAGTGCATTCTACATGAAATGGCATAACTCTGACAATCTAATTATGATTTTCGCTAGATAAGATTGTCAGGTTACAAATGAATAGTGAAAAACGAGCATAAAAATAAAACTTTGATTTGTTAGCATTTTTCTTGTGTTTGAGGCCTGCATTGCTGGTGCAAAAGTGAGATTTATAAATGTTGTTACCCAATTCATATTGATGTCCCGAGACATATGATAAGATCATAAGAGACATGCTAAAAGCTACCCGGAAAATGTGGAAACATGTTTGAAATGAATATGTAGTTGAAGATTCTTCTACTTGTACTTGAGTGTATTATGATGCCTCCTCACTTTCAATTTCTTCTGTTTGTACTCAAGCTTGTATGAACTGTTTCTTCTGATAGCTGATCTTTTGATTTTAAGAAATGTTTCTTCTGTATGGCTATGCATTTGTTGAACAATATAGCTATAGCTTGGCTGCTAATATACTAGTAGATGCCACCTGCACATGGCCATCGCATGACACTTGGCAGGCCTTGTGAAGAGACATCGTTTACAAGAATGAAACACTGCCCCCAATAATGTATCAGTATACTAATTTGCTACATCTTTCTAGGACCAAAAAATCTTGGTCCTGAGATTTCGGTCTTTTTTTTTTTCAAATAGTTGGTGATCCATCCTGATTTTGCAGTAACATTTTTTTTTCGGTTTTTTTTTTTTGTTTTATTAAACAGAGACGATTCAGCAACCTTGACTCAGGCTGTAATGGTGTTGTATTTGTCCAAATGCGCAAGAGGGATGATGATCCGAACCCGAAGGATATTGTGCAGTATATGATGACTTCCCTTGCTTCAACCCGGAAACACATGTCTAGGTTACTTTCTCCGCGTGTTCATTAACTGTTTCTGCTAATTGGCTTGCTGTGCTGTAATGCAAACTAGTATCAAGTATCTTATCTGGTTCAAATTGCATTGGCTTGCATCAGATTCATGTTAAGGGTGCCGCCTGTTGAATTAAGCTGCTATGCGTCGGAAGAGGAAATTGTAAGGGCAATTAAACCTTTTATTGCAAAATACTTTCCAGTGGAAGCTCAAAAGCCCCACAAGGTAGCTTTGATTTTTGTCTCCTTTTTAATGACACCCTTGCTTTATAATCTATGCACAAAACCTGAGCGCCTGTACCCCATTAAGTAAACTATCAAAATATTCTTGTAGCTCATAGATGTATTTCCGATTGTACTTGGTTTCTACTTTATATCTCTAGTTTATCACCTCGGGTTTGGCCTTTCGATGTTATTCAGTCTATTACTTGGAGAAGAATTTGGCTTCCTCTACTATCACCTGCATTGCTTTAAAGTTTTGGTGTGTTAATAATTCAAGTATCCTACTTAGGTACTTAAAGGTGGAGAGGGGTGATTGAGTTTGATTTTACTTGATTCTTTGCAATTTATCCAACCAATAACTGCTATATTTGGCCTTAATTTTGGCACTGTCTTCTTTTTCCCTCTGTTCTTTGGCTGAGCAAAAAGGCATTATAAATCTTCTTTTGCAGTTCGCTGTACTGTATGAAGCCCGTGCAAATATTGGTATTGATAGAACGAAAATCATCGATGCAGTAGCAAAATCTGTTCCTTCACCACATAAAGTTGATCTTAGCCATCCTGATATACATATTGTTGTCCAAATTGTCAAGGTAAGACATGCACATGCACGGCTTCTTGTAGTTTTTTTTTGGTCCTGGAAATGCTACTGTACATAATATGAAAAGCTGCATGATCAGAAATTTTTAAGTACTTTGTGAAAATTTCTTTCTGTAAGGAGGACAGAGTTCCTTTATAAAGGAAACTAGTTATTCGGATAATGAGTTGCTGATCTGCATCTACAAGACTTAGTGATTACTTTGTACTAATAGTTGCATTGAATTTGAGTTATTTTCAACATTCTCATGTCCAAAAGTGATTGTGATTTATGCTTCATGGAATAATTTGCTTTTGTGCCTTTTGCAGACTGTTTGCTTGATTGGATTGGTTGAGAAGTGCAAGGAATTGGCCAAGTTCAATGTGAGGCAGCTTACATCTTCTAAATCCTAACTTGGCAATTCAGTTTGGTTTTAAGCAGTCTACCAGTTTCTGTTCTCAGAGTCATTTTGTTTGATGTATTTCCTGCATATTTTGTACTTTGTTATGTTAGTTCATATCAATCCTAAACTTACGAAACTTCAAATTTCCAAAATGACATTTGACAACAATTATGCTGGATTGCGGTTATGAAACTTTCTTTCTGTAAATGTTCAGCTTATCTTGCATTTATTAGTCAGCAAAAAAAGTAGGCTAGAGGGCTCTGCATAAAAATTAACAAGTCAATATAATTGTGTAAAATGCTTTCGGTTAAGAGCTCCTAGTCAATTAACTCAAAAGATATTGCATGAGAGAGAACACATCTTTTAACCGGCAAGAGCTTCATAAATGCCAAATACTTTCAGAATACAAAAAGCAATAAAGCCATATATGTATATATAAACCCAGATGCATGGTAGTAGAAATAAACAAAACCATGTAATCTTTAATGTGTTGTATTAGGTCTAACAAGCATTTCTCAATAATAGAAAATCCAAAAGGCCCATTAGTTCATCTTTTTGGTCACGAGAGCACCAATACAAATAACCAATGAATTAAACAAGCAGCATACAAAGCCCTAGGACAGCAAAATTGGATGCATCCCATCAAATTTGATTATGGAATACAAACAACAATTGATGGATATAAAAAAATCTCTGCATTTTACTGCATTCAACTTGAGGACAAATCAGTTATGCCATCTACTAATTATCAAAATCAAACTATCTTTGTTGGTCTTGTATGTATTGAAAGTACAACAGCTGTTAAGGAAAAAAAAAAGGAAAACACAATGAGAAGGAATCACAGAAACATGAAGAAACAATATCAATTCACGTTCCTCCTCTCCAAAGAAAGCAGAGAGTTTATCATTGATCAGCTGACAGCTTCTTCACTTGCTGGACCCTGCAGGGCTTGGCGATATGAATGAGAAATCTAGGAGCTAGGCTTGTAAAGCTTCTCAACCATTTTCCTGTACTCTGCAAACCAGAAACAGAATTCAGTTAAAGAATTTCCATTGCTAATTCGAGGAATAAAAGACAATTCATAGATATATACAAATATGGTCAGAACTCAGAAAAATGTACCTGCTTGATTGCCCCAAAGTGCTGCTGCTTGATTATTCAAAGGTGAGCTTGTGTTCGGTTCTGCATTTAGCAATATCCACAGGTTATATTAATGATAAAGAAAAAAAAATCAGAGAATTGTCGTGATTCTTAAAACGATTGCAAAACTACGATCAACGGCAAGTAAGATTACCTCCCAGCAGGCTTTGAATGGAGAGCAGAATTGTCCTCACATCATAAGCTGACGACCACTTATCCTGGAACAGATAATGTAATCGATTAATCAGGTTTCCAATTTTGAGGCAAAATTTGAGACAATAGTAGAGTTATGTAGAAACTTTCTCTATTAATACCTGAAGTATGTCCAAGCATATATTTCCATAAACATCAACATTTGGATGAAAGCAGCCAGTCTCGAACTTGACCTTTGGAGCCTTGAATGGATAATCAGTTAGAAAGGAAAGTGATAGTTTGTACTCAGTGCCCTCAAACACGGTATCTTTGCTACCAGTAATTGTTCCTTTCCAGCAGAATATGTTGTCTTCCTCGGGAAAAGCAGATATTCCAGAATCACCACTCATCTGTACATTCATCAACAGAGTCAAGGAAAGAGATTCAACCAAATAAGGAGCCAACAACAGAGAACAACAACATTGCTAAATGGAAGCACGAATGGAAGATTAAAAGGGATCAGAGATCCTACCATCAAGGCCATCAGTTCAGATTGCAACCTGTATTAACGAGGAAAAAAAAGTTCAAGCATCAGTTACATAAACAACTCCTTTATACATAAAAACCCTTCCTTGGACGTATTCTGTCCATTTTAAGACATCAAATTGACAATTTTTCATAACCAACTAGACTAATTAAGCTTTAGATTTCAGAATTGAAAAGGTAACAGTGAGAAAACAACAAACAGGATATGAGTTTGATATCAAAAATTGAGGATCTTAGCTAAATCAAAATCAGACATTAGAAAGTAAAAATCCTCCAAATAACGCAAGCTAAATTAATAGACTCGCATAGGACCAAGAAAACACATTTAGAAATATGTCATACGTTTTATTTCTTTCACCTAATACCGTTTTATTTCTTTCACCTAATACCCGTGTCCAGAAATCAAATCGAAACAGAAACCACAAATTCAGACACCAAATCCCCTAAATTAACTCTAAGGGGATCAAAACCCTAATATCCCAAATCAAGAAATTCAAAATTTCTTTACACACGTATTCAAAAAATAAAAACCCTAAAAAATATTTTTAAAAAAATGTACCTCTTGAGAACAGATTGAGTATCAACGTTCTTTGCAGATTGCACTGGCTGCTTGGATGACGTCATCACCGGACCAGCCGCGGGGGTGTTGCTGTTATTGCTGCTTTCGCTGTTCATTGTGGTAGTCATCCCTTCTTCCTTGATTCCTTACTATTCACACCTCAAAAAATTCGACCTCTCAACGCTTAAACAATAATCAATATAAAGGGTTCCAAAAATTCTGAACAAATCAAACCGGAATTTCGAGAAATCTCGTCAAAGAAGAAGAAGAGGCTAGTGAGAATTAAAGGGGCTGCCCCCTTCTTCTGATGATGATGAATTATTGATTCTTGCTTAGAGAGAAAGTGACAGAGAGATTGGACTGATGCAGAAAAAAAAATGTGTGAAGAGATGTTTATAAATGTGAGAGTTTGTCTGAGTTTTACATAAGAATCCAAAAAACATTTTGAACGTTAAAAGAGCTGCGGCGGTGGGGTTTGGTTGATGTTTTCTCGTAACGGCTAGTTTTTTATGCTTTTTTTTATTCTTTTTTTTTTTGAAAAATAGTTTTCTTGGTTATTATTCCGTTGTAAAATCATATATATATATATATAATAAAGTCGTATTCTCATACTTATCCCTTCATATTTTCTCTTTCCTACGTGGCTTAACGAGACGGTAAGTAGTTTCCTACGTGGCTTGCTCCTTTTTTGTTTGGATATATATCAATTCTTATTTCCTATAAAAATTCTTAATATTATATGATTCTTATTTCCTATGCAAAAAAAGAACTGGAAAGTAATGCGATATAAATAAAAGAGACATAAATCTCCTCTATTAGATGTATAGGAATAAATGATAATATATTTTTTTATAATGTCCTATTCTTTTTTTTTTAACAGTTTCATCATAGATCCTTTTTATTTTAAGATAATCTATCCATATATAGAACAGCATACAAACAATCTAGACATGAAAATTAAAGAAAGTTAGCCCGAGAAAGTTTTTACAAGACTTACAGTCTCCATGCATAATTGATGTACAAAGAGAAATGGCACTTCATCTGATTGAAAAATTCTGAAAAAGTCCATAAAGAAAATGGAGTGTTATCAACCAAAGAAATAAAATCCCATTATCATAGCTAAAGAAAGATGAGATAAAACATGAGATAAAATTTTGTTAAGGGAGACGAGGGATTTTCTTCCTTTTGAATGATTGAATTGCACTTGTAAGAAAATTATTGAATTCTACTTTAGCAATCTATCTTAACAATCTCATTTCTCTCAACCTTCAAGGGAATCACTTGAATGGTCCAATTCCAAGCACAGTTGGCAACTGTACCCAGCTCAAAGAACTTTCGCTATTTTATAATTTTCTATCTGGTTCAATTCCATCAAATTTAGGAAAACTGTGTCATCCTTGGAGTCCTGGTATGTATCTCACAACAAAACTCACCTGAGAGTCTTTGGCAGCTTCCCAAACTTGAAGAGCTTATTATTGCTGATAATTTAATAGAAGGCGTTGTGAGTGAGGGCCACCTAGATAATCTGACAGCTTTAAGGATTTTTGATGCATCTGGAAACTCCTTGACCTTAAAAGTAAGTGCAAGTTGGACTCCTCGTGCCCAATTTGAAGCACTTGGATTGGGCTCGTGGAAGCTGGGTCCCCAATTTCCTACATGGATTCGATCACAAAAAATCCTTAAGGGTTTGAATTTGTCATATTCACGGGAATTTCAGATACTATTCCACCTTGACTATTCAACTTATCATTGAGATCTATATACCTTTCTCACAATCAACTCCATATGGTAAGAGTTCAAATATCTCTGAAATTACTAAAGGTTTATATGTGCATTATAGTCAAACATATTCAATGGCTATTCCCTCTTGGTTATTCAACCCATCATAGGTCCATGTGAAACTTTCTCACAATTAATTTTATGGTAACAGTTCAAATATCTCTAAAACTGTCAAAAGGTTTATGTGCACACAACAATCAAGCACATTCAATTGCCTACACACCCAATTAATTTATCATTGATTGACATATTTAGAACTTAATTTCCAACTATTTGTTTTCAGGAGGCATCTCTCACATTTTGTGTGAAGTGAAGAAAGAAGATCGAGTTCTTCAATTTCAGGAGGTCTCTCTCAGGCTTTGTGTGAAGTGAAGAATGAAAATCAAGGACTTTGGTATTTAAAGCTTCGGGAGAATTCTCTATCAGGAGAAATTCCTGAGTGCTGGATGAATTACCCAGAATTGTTTCACATCGACCTCAACAGCAATAACTTCACCGGAAGCATTCCAAGGTCATTGTTTCATTTGGAAGGTCTGGAGTATTTAGGCTTGGGTAACAACAGTCTCACTGGTCCGATTACCTTTGACTTTGTAAATCATGAATAAATAAGTGGAGCCATTCGATGTTTGATCCTATGGGTAAAACTAAGATGGACATCAAAAGTGACTTTGTGTGCTGTTGGCTATGTAGAAAATGTTGTAATTTTTAACCGTAATGGATGATGCACCAGTGTTTTGAAGCTATGACTGTTAAGAGTCCACCTAATGGTCATTTGTTATCTACTTGATAACAATAGGAAATGACGTTTGTACCCCTCCTCTTGATGTGATTATGTAAATGGAAGAAAAGTCAATATATTACCTAAAATGCATATCAAACTGTAAACTTGAAATGAACATCTTAGAATTACTAAAGTCAATGCGAAATGAACATCTTAGTATTGGGCCCATGTACTAAAGTGGTCATAAATGTTTTGATCAAAATAAATGGGCTAATTTCTTAGAATATTTATATTTAAAAAAAACAACCGCTAAATGCACCTCTGACAGGTTACTTTTCTCAAACTATACGTATCGTGCTGGAGGACGTGCTGACTGAACACGATCGCGACTGACCAAAAAGGCTGCCATGACCAGCGTGGACGTGCCCAATCAGCACGTTTGCTGCTGACCAGAAAGACTGCCATGATCAGAGCGGATATGTTGATTGGGCACATCCGCGCCCGACCAAAAAGACTGCCATGACCAGCAGAGGTTGAAGAGGTTAGCCCAATTCAAGCTACTATAATATTTCCATTAAATGATGGCTCTATATGCAAGACAGACTTTCGGGTTGAAGAGGTTGGATGTTACAATCGGTAGCGCAAGAAATGACCCATAATAATTCAACTGCCAAAAGCCAAAAAGTGCCGTGGGGGCAAGAGAGTTTAATAAATGCTGTGCAGTAAATTGCTCATAAGTAGTAGAGTGCTGCACATGCCAATGCCAAATGGTTGTCGTTCGAAGGCATTATCTAATTGGACATAAAATATTGCACACTGTTATGATTGGTTATAATTCTAGCTTCCCTTGGCATCTGGGCAAGGAACAAGTTCCTTCTCTTCTCTTATTATTCTTCCCTGCTCACTTTTCACTGAAAGTCCTCCAACAAATCGTATCTCCATGTTGGCGCAGCATGAAAGAATTGTGCCAAGATACTACTGTCAGTTAGAATCCAACTACAGTTTGCGGTGATTAACATTCTCCCCACAATTTATAGTCAAGATTCACACAATCAGGGCTTTTCTTCTAGAGGCATATTAATCAAGGGAATAAATTTTAATGCTCCTCGTTTTGCTTTGAGGAAATTTGGCAACTCTTGGTCTAATATGTCTTTCCTGGTCTTAACATGTATTTATAGTTCGGTATTAATATTTTAAAAGTATAAAGTTAAATCGGGAAAACTTATAAATGTAAAGTTACGTAATAATTATTAGTGCGTGGATTGATATGATAAATTAAAAGTGATGCGCTCTTTGGATACACGCCATAGGCACATATATGGAGTGTTTAAGAAGGGTTTCACCAATTTGACTCAAAACGGCCCTAACGGCGGTAGGGGCTTACGAGATTAATCGAGAAGTCAAGATTCAATTAAAATTTGACGAGATTAACCAAGAATCAAGCTGATTTGAACTAGTTCCTTCGTATTTATTCGCTCTACTTACTTTCCGTGGATAGTAATATTTATTTTGCTTGCTAATAATAATATACCTGAAACAAATGACAAAATGACTCCATAATAGTGACGTGTTAGAGGACGAGTGAAGTGGACAGCAGTAATAAAAAAAAGTTTACCAATAGCTACGTACCAATGCTCAGATACCATGGAAAAGAGGGTCACAACACAATTCGCCATGAATGCGGCCTTAGAGATAAAAAAATAAAAATAAAAATAAAATTTTTTTGCCCTTAATTCTCCATGTTCTGATGAAAATCGTATCCTCAATTTATTGGCTTAAGTTCAAAAAATTGTTAAAATCAAATGCCAATGCATACAAAAAGACTACCAAAATCAAAGGCCAATGCATACAAAAAGCAAAGGCTGCCATGACCAGCGCGGACGTGCTGACTGGGCACGTCCACCTCTGCAGCCTTGCGACAGGACTTTGTTACTTTTTGATCTTGCTGACTTTTTCAAAAAAAAAATTTTAATTTATTATGCGGCTGTGCTGAGTAGTTTGAGAAACTCACCCTATTAGAGGTGCATTTGGTGGATTGTTTTTTTTTTTATTTTATGTATAATCTAAGAAATTAGCCGCTGCTAGGCTTCAACCTACCAAGATGCAACGGGCGCCCCGTGGCAAATAGGTCCTCGCAAGTTCCATTGGCTGCAAGTTTGCCTCTCCTCCCCACCTTTATTTTTTAGAGTTATTACCACTTTACTTCTTTAAATTATATTACTGCTATCTATTTACTACCCTAATACTATCTTTTATCACATTTACCTCATAAGTAATTCAACTCAGTATGTTAACAAATTTTGAACAAAAATATCTTTTTATTTTATAGCATTTTTATATTATTATTATTATTATTACTTTATCCCTTTAAATTATAGTGATACAATCAATTTACACCATAACATTATTTTCTAGGTATTTTACCCCACCGTTAACCTAACTAATATATTCAAAAAAAATTTAATCTATTTACCTTTTTTATATATAATTAAAAATAAAAATTGGAATGATTATTCTTCCTTTTTTTCACTTTAAGAGTTCCAAAAGCATAAAAATAAAAGAATTTTCCAAATTAGAAAAAGAAAAAGAGATAGGAGAGAAGGAAATAGAAAATTACATTTTGCAAAGAAAGAAAATAAGTATGAATATAATATTATCATATTACTTTAACATCGTTGGGATTATGATTGGAATTTGAAGGTACATAAAAACGTAAAGTAATTTTAAAATAATAAAAATATTGAATTCTTTTTATTTGTAATATTTTTTTAAAAAAAAGAATTGAGCTCTCTCTCTCTCTCCCCCTTCTATATTTCTAATTTTTTCATCATTAATAGAAAGAGATTAATGTTTTGAATTTGCTTTCTTGATACTAAAAAGAAAAACTAAAAAGAAGAAAAGTCACTCTAAATTTTTTACTATTTTTATTGTACAAGGAGGAGGGTACTTTCTTCTAAAATT